GCACCAGGATATTAGGATTTAAAAATATGCCTGAACAATCATTTTTTTATAGTCTCTTTTGATTTACTGACTGGGTTGACCGAGAACCACAGCCACAAACATCTCTCGTGTAATTTACCTCCATTTAAATATAACAAAGATGAACAACTCAATGTAAACAAAGGTAATCCCAACAATTAGAATGGATTACGTTGATGTTTCTAATGTGATTCATCATAAATAAAACTCTGGTTTTGATGGCAGATGGAAAAATTATCTGTCCATCAAATGACTTTTAAAAAAAGCCCACTGAACAAAGCATATAATCGCTGACTCCTTACCCCCACCAGAGCCTGTAATTATGCCTATAAAACACATTCTATATATAAACAACAATAGACAGCTAAAGTGGGAGTTGTGTCAGGGAGTTCTGGTGACTCACTACACAGAAGGGCACACCCCATGCGCTTGTGGCAGCGCGAGTTTGACTTCAGCAAACGAGTCTGTCACATAAGGCTTGGCATCAGTAAAACAGGCTGGCAGCGATTAGCTGAAGAACTCTGCTGGTAAATCTCAACTGTAAATGTATGCTGGCACAAGGAAAACACCGGCGCTTTCTTGATTCCAGGCTGACCTGTCATCGTAATCACTTTTCACTGCCGAGGGAACAAATTTTACTTCAAGCTTTGTTTACTAAAACAAGCCAACATTAAAAAAAAACTCTGGGTAACCATGTGACAAATAAAGTTTATATTAAAGCACCACCATACTCCAAAAAAGCTTTTATGAAAAACTGTCTGTGAGTGAAGATACTCTCTGAAAAAAAGCAGGATAGCCTAAAGGCTAACAGAAAATTCTAATGCGGGATTCTGATGGAATTTGTTGACAGAAACCAATAAAAGCAGCGGAAGGTGTCTAAAAAGAGAAATAATTTCTTATTTAAAAGATCTTCCTTACAAAAAATACAAAACTTTGGTTTGGACTGGGACTCTTTCACTTGTGAAACATAAGAACATCTTTGCTGTAAAGGCTGTGGATACATTTGAAGTGCTAAAAGCAGAAGCTACATTGATCTAATTGGCAGCATACATGTACAACAACAGCATAAAGCGCAATAATGCATCATATGTTTATGGCGTAAAAAGAGTTTTGTCTCAGATTATCTGGGCTGTGCAATTAATTACATTTGAGCTCAATTTCAGCTCCAAATGGTTGTAAAAATAAAGTAGTGGGCAATGATTTTTACAATGGTTTCGTCGTTCTTTCTAAATGATCTGGTTCTAGAGAATTGTGCGTGTATTCTTGTGTTTTTCCATAATTGTATCCTGTTTAATGATTTTTATGCCTTTGTGTTCAGTACTTCAGTCAAAGTTAGCATGGCTAACCTCACAAGCATCTTGTGGTGTTTTAGAAAGTCAGCTCAAGTAAAGATGACAGAATGGGGGTAAAACACAATGGGAGTATACATCACACAACAAAAATACACTTCTACTATTGTCAATTATGATCTTCAATCATTCTGTAGAATGGTTCTGAGTGATATTGCGTTCTAATTTTCAAGCATCTACACATCCGAGCTTCCATTGCAGCTCCTCTCTAGCCTAGAACCGGTGTCCAGCATGTTTTCTTGTTTCTCTACTCCATCACAACTAATTCAGTGGTTGATTCACCTGTACAGCAGCTCATCAAGCTCTTCAGAAGCCTGTTCATCACCTGCTGATTGAAATCACGTGTGTTAAAGCGGAGTTCAAACTGAAACATCCTGGATACCGGCTCTCCAGGACCAGGAGTGAGTACCACTGAACTAGCATGTGGAGGCAGTTTGAAAGGCATCCGTAGATCCCACCCCACAACAGAGAGCCATCAATGGACAGCCAACCAATATATTTATGTAAATAGGATGACCTGCCAGGCTAGCTCGTCTGCTTTTATAGCTAAGCTGTCTGTTAATTTTGTCTTCATGTGAGTGACTGATGAAACTGTAATTTAATTTTGATTATTTGATGTCTTCATGTCTTTTCACCCCCAACAGTTTGGGGGGTGAAACTTGATGCTGGACTTAAATTTGATGCTCACATCATTTCTGTGACCCGGTCCAGTTTCTTTCACCTGAGACGCCTTGCAAAAATCAAGCATATGCTGTTGAGAGCCCACCTGGAGCGGGTACTGCATGCCTTTGTAATTTCTAGGCTTGACTACTGCAACTCTCTCTATGCAGGGTTGTGTCAGTCATCACTGCATCGCCTACTGGTTGTGCAGAACAGCGCAGCCAGGTTCCTGACTGGGACCAGGAAACGTGACCACATCAGTCCGGTTCTGGCCTCCCTGCACTGGCTTCCGGTTTGCTATCGTTCACACTTCAGACTCCTCGTCTTTGTTTTTAATTTCTTCCAGGGTGGTGCTCCCCCCTATCTGGCCACACTCCTGAACAGACATTCCCCATCACGCGCTCTGCGCTCCTCTGACCAAGGCCTGCTCGCTGTTCCTCGTTCTAGGTGTCGTACTCGCGGGGACCGGGCGTTCTCAGTCCTAGCACCGTCACTCTGGAATGAGCTGCCACCATCAGTTAGGCTGTCCCCATCTCTGCCAGTCTTTAAGAGTCGCCTAAAAACACACCTCCTCCGCTTGGCGTTTCCAGAACATGTTTGATTTTGGCCCTCTTTTATGTTGAATTTATTTCACAGTTTTCATTGGTTCACTCTATCCATTGTTTTACACATTTGTCCTGTACTAGAATGTTTCGCCTTTTTTGTAATTTGAATTGCATTTATTTTTGATTTATTCAATATATTTACCTTCTACTGTACCAAGTTCAGGGCCTTGGGCTTCCTGACAGGGTTGCGGAAGGCACTTTATAAATAAAGCTTTGATTGATTGATTAAATCATTAAAACATGAACTCTGGATACGTTTGGTTCAGAAAACAGATACAATTAGAAATATACAGTTATATAAGGAAGATGGATGGACAACTTTGGTAAAATACATATATTACATAGTCTAGTACCCCCAGCAGAGTTGTGCTTTCTAACAGTGTTCAAGTTGTGATTATGCAATCAGGTTACCAACTCTCAGAATGTTAATGTAAAATAATTGCAACAACAGCTTTACATGATAAATAAACCACAATAAAACTTAAAAGCAGCTCTTCTGCTTTTATACAATCTCTGAATGCCTTATGTGATAATCCAATTTGATTTTCTGAAATTAAAACTATTCATAGAATTAGTGATGCACTGATTTGAAATATTTGGGCCGATACTGATATCCGATATGAATCACTGTTATGGCTGATAACTGATATTTGCCAATACCAATATACTGACATTAATGCTTCTAAAATCACCAGATTTTGTACAGAATGAAAATTATTAAAGCTGAATTTACGTTATTATGTACACACACCACACACATTTACACTTCTGCGATGATTAAAATAACTGTCACATGACTAAACAAATACACATGACCTCCCTCACCCTCTGAAAAAGATAAACAAATGGAAAGATGGAAAAAATATTGGTTGTTAATATCAGCCTGGTTTTATTTATCGGGCTGATACCGATATGTTAAAAAATGACTTACAAGTGCCGATATCGATATTGATGCCGATATATTGTGCATTCCTACATAGAATTGATAAGTTTAGCGTCTGAGGAGTGAGGACACAACTAGCCCGACATGAAGTTCTAGTTAATGTTTTTGAGAGTATGAATTAGAGTTGAAAAAGTTCCACTATTGAGCCAGCACAAAATGTTATGAAATAGGCCAAGAAAGAATGTTGCAAGCTCCAGCAAGCAGCTTGGATGAAGCAGGGAAGTAAGCAGTGTTTGTTTGCAAGTGTAGGCAAAAGAACTCTGACAGGGATGGGACTCCAAACCAACTCAATCTAAAACATTTAATTCCCGGGAACAAAACATATTGGTTAGTTTGTATTTCAGCTATTTGAAAAACAGTTTTTACAATATTTCAGATTGCTAAAAATCACAAACGTGGAATTAAATGTTTGTCCTTAACATAACATTTTGAAACATTGTAATCAAAGCCACCCAACTAAAGTGGCCACTTGAGCACAAAAGCTATTATGGACGTGTCATTCATGTTGTGACTATTTCAGCCACAAGCCCAGGAGTGGGAGAGGTCCAATTAGGAGATCAGAACTGCAACATCCAGACATGTAGTGAGAGGCAGACCCATTACAGAGCAGTCTGTGGTCATCACAAAACAAACTAAATGTGGTTTTGAAATGACTTCATCAACAAACAATTACAAAAAAGGGCTCAACACTGGCTCAGATATTTAATTTCAGGCATGCCCAGGACACAAGTTGCAGCTGATGATTATGAGAGGGAAGTAGAGGAGGGGAGTGGTAGTTTTTGTGGTTGGGTATTACTATTTGCACTGAGTTGCGTGATTATCACACATAACTGTTTAAATTAAACTTAGCTATCATTTTAGATGGTGTAGTTTCACATTACAGGATGTGTTACGTTACAAAGTGAAGATGCAAATACTGGTGAGTCTATCAATCACTGCAGAACACGTGTTCCCAGTACAGTTGTATTTTTGATGTAGATTTAAATTTATACAACAAAGGAACTTGGAGGTAGAGGAACTAGTGTGCACCTAAGATCTGTTAGAATAACACAATAGGAAACACCAGAACATCCCAGTTTAGCCTTAGCTAAAGCTGCTCTTCGCTATGCCAGACAAAAACATCTAATGGCTTTAAGGTGACGTGACTTGTTTTGCTGTTTGCCTCTTTGATTTGAAGACAGGAGTTGGTGGCGTTTCTGTGCGGTTCGGGAGACAATGCAAGGCCGCCATATAAAGGCTGGAAATGGGAGGAAAAGGAAGTGGGCATAGTGTGGCCGCCCCCGCCTCACCTCCTGGGGGATACAGGGAACCATAAGACGGGAAAGGGGGCTCGGATATATTGGGTCAACATGAGGAAAACGTGGATATTTTGACATAGGAAAAATTAAGAAGTCTAGCTTTAGACTCCTGCTGAATTAGGCTCACCATAAAGTCGCTGCCAAAGTTGTCCTCCCCCCTCTTCTCGTCTCTTTCACTCATGGTCTTCACCCCCTGGATAAACTGTCTCAGGATGCCGGCTTGGTCCATCTTTCAGTCCTCTTAAAACGCTGCCTTTTTCCGTTTAAATATATCTCCCAGACTAACAAGGGGAGGAGAACATTAAAAATAAAACAGCAGAGGACAAAGGAGAGGGAGAAGGGGAAATAAATAAAAATAAATAGGCTTTCACGGGTCCTCCCAGAGAGTCATCGTCGGTCCACAACACAGCACATTTATTTATTATCGCCCCATGTTGTTTCTGCCTTTCCTTCTTTCTTCTGGACTGTTTTCACGACAGCAGTTAGTCCCAAAGAAAAGCTGCAACGGCCGGCTAGCCAGCCCCTCGAACAAGTTTACAACCGCGGCGTGGAATAAACTGTCAGTACGAGGCTCGGCGAGAAAATACAAAATAAAGAAAAAATACCAAAAAACCCGGTCCGGTCAGTCTCTGTACCCCTCCCTGTCTACCTCGATTGCCACATTCACACTAGTGCTCGTTATTCGCTACTGGAGAACATCCGGACTGGGCAAAACCGACGAGATGTAGTCCCGCCTCTTCCAGGATATGCCTGTTTCTGATTGGTAGCAAGAGAACGTGTGACAGAATGTTATTGGCTGAGACGGCTGCAGCTCTACCAAACGGCCTCGCGTGATTGGATAAAACTTATGCCTGTTTTTCTCAGTTTATCAGCCACAGGCATCCAACATTCATAGTGGGAACAATAAATAAATAAATAAATAAATAAATAAATAAATAAATAAATAAATAAATAAATAAATAAATAAGATATCCATGTAATGTGTATTATTGTGACTTCAGAAAAATGAACAGATGTATCTCCTTTTAACAAAACAATATAATCAGCAAAAGGTTCAAATCAATTTATTTATTCAACATGCAGAATTTGATATGAACTGTCCCCTTCCAGCGAATGAGGCTACAATGTTATTACACATATGCTGTAATTCAGTTAAAATGATAATTATACGTTTCAACTCAGTCTGTCATACAATTTGAAATGTATTTGTTTGTAAAAAATTCTCTAATAAAAAGACAACAAATCAGAAGTCGCATGTATGATATCACAGCAGACTCTGACACTTTCCACATGGTCAGATTTATAGTGATTTTCTTATGTTTAATTCTCCTTCTTTAGTCCTGGAAGATGGATGTGAAGCTCGCTAAACTCAAAGCCATTTTTCTTCTCTTTGGTTTGATGATGTAAAATTGTTGGGACGGGCAGTACATCTTCTCACACAAAACCTAAAGGATCTTTTGTTGCCTGTTGTGAATAAGTACTTTCCTGGCATCAAAATGTGTCATTAAAATTCACACAAACTATAAGTGAAATCCATGACACATATCGAACAGGATCAGAAAATAACTTTTATCACCACAGACTCCCATTTATTGTTTTTGATAATAAATGGGAGTGTTTTCTTCGCTTTTTTAGGAAGTGAGTCACATCACAGCTGAGCCTCAGTGGAAGTAGATGGCCGTGACTTTTGTCTGGTAAGAGCATTGCACAGGGAAGCAACAAATTACACTTTAATAGATGGATCACAGTATGAAGTAATAATATGCCCGGTATTGGAGGAAGCACAGTTTACAGCTCTGGTGTTACAGTTTTTCATCCAGGAGGTTAAATAGATGATGAGCTGGGTGAGATGAGTCTTTTAAGATATTTTAATACTGCTAATAATGCATTTAAATTGCAACAGAAAAATCAAATTTAATTCATGTTGTCCATAGAATGTCTAATCTAGAAAATGGTAGTTCAACTTTTATTATAGCTCAAAAAATGAGAAGAACAGATGAAGAAGACTGGTGTTCTCCGTAAGACTTTTGGGAGACAGAAACTCAATAGACCTTCATTCCTGATGAACCATTCTCCAATAAACTAACACAGAAGAAAAAGGGAATTGAGCTACTTTGTTTTCCTTTCGTTCTACCAGTGACAGAAAACAAAACCATCTATTCACTGGGAGCAGGAGCAAGAAGAAGAGGGGACGCTGTCGCTGTGCCAGCAAGCTTTTACTCACACAAGCTGCTTTTTGTTGCTCTAGTCTTTAAACTTATTTGCTTGTTATATCGGCACATACTCAGTGTTTTCTTTGCTTTTTTCCCCTTCCTTGTCCCTTCTGTTTCCACTCCATCCTCAATAAGCAAACCTTGTTTCAGAGTCTCCAGCCCAACTGCTGCAATACATCATCAAATATAGAATTCCAAATGTATAGACTGTATACATATATATATATATGTGTGTGTGTGTGTGTGTGTGTGTGTGTGTGTGTATTTATTTATTTATTTGTTTGTGAGAAACGATTCATGCCAAAGAAAGCAACCACTGAAGTTGTTTTGATGATGAACACTTGGTTTTTATCTTGCGTTATTTGGTCCTTATTTGTTTTTCTTTGTGTAAATGTGTTGTACACTCTTTTAATCAATACAATTGTAGTGGTTTCTAGTAGGAATGAATGCACTGTAAGTCGTTCTCGGAGGGCAAAAATGACTGGTGCACCATTTCTAGGAACTAGAAGTGAGTCACATCACAGCTGAGCCTCAGACAGCAGCTTTTGGAGTCTTATGTCCTCCTATTTGGTCATCTCACCTTGGATTGGATAACAGCAATGCAACTCTACCACTGACTTGCAATGTGGATATTTTAGCTCCACAAACAACTTAAGCCTGGAGGAGTTATGCTGTGTGGTGGAGTTGCTAATGCTAACAGTTAGCTTCTAATAGTCGAGAAGTTCTCTGCTGTTTCCTGGACGCTAAACCAACAACAACCTTCCCCGTCGTGAGTCAAGATGGATGAATCCATGCATGTTAATTAAGAGTGTGATGTAGATCTGTCAGGCTTTTATAATCCTAGAGTTTCACCTTCTATTTTCTGTCAGAAGCTAATGCTGGAGCTAGGTGTAGGAGACTGTTTTCATGTTCAGTCTGCATGAAAAACTCAGAGTGACCAATTATAATCAGAAATAATAAAAAAAAATATGTTTTTCTGGAGTTCTACACCTTTAATGAATTGCTATTTTACAGTATTTTCAAAGAAAAACATCAAATGTAACAATTGCATATAAATATATGTTTGGTTATTTTACAGGTTCTGTAAGATAACTTTTTGAAAAACATTGAACACATTTTTGATTCAAAGGTTTAAAGCAAATTATAGTTTGTGCAGAAATGATTGATTCGCTTTATGAGAGCACGTTAGTTCCACTGGTGTAGAAATACACACCAAAGATGATCATGCGTGTCTATGTATAACTTGCCTAATAGCTGCATGGTAGGATGTCATGACCTTCCTTTTCTACTTTCCCAGGCTGGCTCTCGTTACTCTGTACTTTATCTGAACCTGACCTTTGACCTCCATGTGGGAAAAGGGGGGCCAGGGGTTCAAATATCACACCAGGGATCGGTTACATGTAATATTATTTTTCCCATCTTCCTCCTTCACCAATTTCCTGTGTTCCTGTCTTCCCACTTTAGCACAGAGCGCAGGAGGAAACTTTGTACGTATGTCTCTCCCTCTCTGTTCCTTTCTTTTATCAGTTTGTCTCCCGCCATTCTTTCTCTTTTTGATGACTCTCTTCTTTTCTTTTCTCTTCCTTTTCTGTCTGGAATGCACTGTTCAGAAGCAGCTGAGTGAAAGAATGTTGTTGTAACAAGCCCATACACAACCCTGAGGTAGGGAGGATCCTTGCACACGCTCTCACACATGCACACAATCTGCATCTTTCCCTCACCCTTGTGTTCTGTTTTATTTTGAGGTGTGTGGAGGGAGAGCAAGAAAACGTATGCATGAGAGCTGGGGAATATCAGGTCTGCAAGCACACACAGAGGACGTGAGCCTGCCTGTTGTAGTGACATGAGGTGAAAAGTCTGCCCTCAGGCTGCATGAATCAGTGGCAGGTTGCACAATGCTATCATGGCTCCTCCTTTATTGGGTCCATTAAAATAAATCATAACGCAACTAGTCTGGTTAAAAAATATATGCATAGACACCGTTGGCTCTGTATTCATTTCATGCATTTGTACAACTTATTTTACTTCCATTAACCTCTACTTCTTCTTCTTGGGAGACAGGTCCTACCTCAAGTGGAGGAGTTTAAGTATCTCTGGGTCTTGTTCACGAGTGAGGGTAGGAGGGATCGGGAGATCGACAGGCGGATTGGTTCGGCGTCTGCAGTGATGCGGACGCTGAGCCGATCTGTTGTGGTGAAGAGGGAGCTGAGCCAGAAAGCCAGGCTCTCGATTTACCGGTCGATCTACGTTCCAATCCTCACCTATGGTCATGAGCTTTGGGTAATGACCGAAAGAACGAGATCGCGGATACAAGCGGCCAAAATGAGTTTCCTCCGTAGGGTGGCCGGGCTCAGCCTTAGAGATAGGGTGAGGAGCTCGGACATTCGGGAGGGACTCGGAGTAGAACCGCTGCTCCTCTGGATCGAAAGGAGCCAGTTGAGGTGGTTTGGGCATCTGGTCAGGATGCCTCCTGGACGCCTCCCCGGGGAGGTGTTTCGGGCATGTCCTGCCGGCAGGAAGCCCCCGGGTCGACCCAGGACACGTTGGAGAGATTACATCTCCAATCTGGTCCGGGAACGCCTTGGGGTCCTGCCGGAGGAGCTGGTGGAGGTGGCCGGGGAGAGGACGGTCTGGAGCTCCCTAGTTGGGATGCTGCCCCCGCGACCCAGACCCGAATAAGCGGAGGAAGACGACGACGACGAGATAATCTCTGCTTCTGTTATATAAGTATTTTTATATGATTTACCCATTATCATCTTCTATAAATCATGCAACACTCATCCAATTATGGGTGAAAAGGAGCATGCACAATTACTGTACAGCTGCTGAAATAAACTAACTCACTGCAAAGCTTTGCTGTGAAAATCCAGTTAAAAGTAGCCTTTCAGAGCCATCCACACCCTGGGATCTGTGTGGTTTTCTGTTGGAAGTCTAGGGCCATGACCTCAAGAACAATGTAAAAATATCCCATCTGTTTATGTTTATTCATTTAGCAGACGCTTTTATCCAAAGCTACTTACAATTTATAACCTATAGGGCATGTTGTGATCTGTGGGGGAAACCAGAGTACCCGGAGGAAACCCACGCATGCATGGGGAGAACACGCAACTCCACGTAGAAAGGCCGCAGCTGAGTTTCGAACCTGCACCCTTCATGCTGCGAGGCAACAGTGCTAACCACTGCGCCACCATGCAGCCCAATCTGCACAGTGCACTTCCATGAAACCACATCCACTGTTAAAAGATGGCATGTGCTTTTGTGTAAGCACACACACACACACACACACACACACACACACACACACACACACACACACACACACACACACACACACACACACACACACACAGGAGACAAAAAGTGTGAATGGATGACAAACATTTTGGGGCGTGTTTGGTTTAAGGAGAGTGGCTTCATTAAGGTGCACACCTAAATTGAGGGCAAAAGTGTGTGAGAGAGAGTGTGTGAGTGCAGAGTGGACATGTTGGTGATGTGGCACTGTGTTTGTGTGTGTTGTGATTGTGAGCAACAGCCTCAATGTGGCCATTCCCCCAGCAGCTTGCAGTCAGCCTGTCAGCCTCCGGTGACTGCTCTCTCTCTCTCTCTCTCTCTCTCTCTCACACACACACACACACACACACACACACACACACACACACACACACACACACACACACACACACACAAATGTCTCGATTAGCCATGATAATAATCATTACCTCACTATGAGTATTCCTATAAACATTTATTTATTAATTTATGGATGTTTAATTTCTTTAGTAATTTTCTCCATTACAGGTTTATGTCCTCACAACATGAGTAATCCACACACAAACACACATTCGCTGACACAGACAGGCTCCAGCGGTTGGATGCTCTGTCAGATTTAGACGCATAATTACTGTTTTAACTTTTGAGAACCATGTGTTTTCAAGTATATGTGTTCTGTCTCTGTGTGACATTTGCAACTTAAAAACAAGTCTGTTTATCTGTTTAACACATTTATGGCGGTGATACAAGTAAATAATACTCCTGCTTGTATATAGATGTCAGGTTTTGAGTTTGAAGAAAAGAAGTCTCTCATCTCATTTTACAAATCAGCCAATAAGGTGATGTGAACAGGATGCTTCAAGAACAGTCCAAAGTCAACTCTAGCTTGGTAAGGATAGTTTACTGTCCACTAGCACCACCTAGTGGACAGTATAGGGTTTAACGTGTTACGGTGGTCTAGGGAGTAGAAAAAGGGATATTTATCAAAATAAATGTATTTTACATCTTTATAAAAGCAAATACTGAAAACATGTCTTTAAAAATTAAAACATAAGCTATTAGCAGCATCAATTACCTTACCCTTTCATTGATTACCATACTTAAAATCACTAAAAGGAAGATTTTTTAAATGTCTTCTAGTAAAACATTTCATATTTCACTGCTACATTTTTTTTCATCTAAGTTTAAGTTTGTACTCTTTCTTTTTATAAGGGAAATTAAACCTCATTACAAATGTAATGCTTTTTTTTTACTATTGATAAAGAAGACATAATCATTTCAGGCAAAACTTCATTCAATAAATTCACAATCAGACAATTTTTTGAATTATTTTAATGATATGAAAAAAAAAGCCTTTTGACAGTTCTCTCCAATAATTGGATTTGGAAAAACTCCTGCAATCTAACACGCACAAATTATAAAACTTCAAAAATACACATAATTTAAATAAATAAAAGTCTTGACATATTAAACCCACAACAAACACAGAATACAGAGCAATTAAAATAATTTAACTTGAAACACAAGAATTTCTGTATCAACAATTGAAAAAGATTAACACATGAAATCAAGTATAAGGAGGAAAAAAAAAGACTAGTTACAGGAAGGAGGGTCTCTTATGCAATTCTACTCACATGTGCTTTGAATCAATTTAAGTTCAAGTAAAAATGATTTACTACAAAAACATGTTCTCATGAGGGAGGATTTTTAGACTTTTATTCAGTTTTTGTCCTTCGAACCCTGAGCATCGTGTCATGGCTCTGGCATTAATTAATAAGACACTCTAGTTGAAGGACACACACACACACACACACACACACACACACACAGGATTTCAACCTGAAGTAGGTCTTTATCTCTAAAAGAATGTAAAAGTATATAAAAGGAGCTTTTTATCACAGCAGTAACTATTGTATCATTATTGTTTTTGTTCTTCATGATTCTTGTTTGCTCTGAAGCTGCAGGGTGATTTCAGAACTCTGGGTCAGACAGAAACAGATGTAGGATTAATTTTCTACTACATTCAACCAGAGGTGATATTTATTGTCCAAATATGTGCATCCACAATAATACATGCTATGTTCTTTGAAAGATAATTACTTTGCAAAACAATTACTCAGATGCATTTTTGTGCCAGGTGCTACTTCATGGCCAACATTTATTTACAAACTAAAAGAATTTCACAATAAATGCATAAAGCAGGCATGACATACCCGTGGCTTCAGGTGCCTCATCAGGCGGAGAATTGGAGTTCATTCCATACTTGTCGCCAAATATCTGCACCAGCTGGTCAAAAAACTTGCACTCCTGTTTGTCTCCCCTGCAGAAATGATGCAACATCAGTAAAAAAGTCACGCCTCAACACCCACAGTTATGAAATCATGCAGCTTCAACAAGAGTCGATTGTGCTTACTGTCGTCCTTCCAGGAAGTGTCTGAAGTTGGCCCTGAGCCTCTTTATCCTAGACTGACACTGATCGGGAGTGCGCACGTAGCCCTGGCTGGCCATGGCCCGGGACACCTGTTTGTAGATTTGTTTGTTCTTGGCAGAACTCTTCAGGTTCTCCTGAATCTCCTCGCTCCCCCAGATATCCAGGAGAGTCTCGGTTTCTGTGTCGCCCCAAGCCAGCTTCGTGCTATCAGCTGCCCACTGGCTGCCTGAGGAGATGAAAAACAAATTTTATCTATACGAAACAGAGCAAAGTTATTTATATACATCTGCTTAAATATGAAATGGCACTTCAAGTTTCAGAAATTTTACAAAACTTTATAACTAAAACCTGCATTTTAAAACAACTAAAATAATGATCAACAATCACTTTTAATTAAAAAGACTTTCAAGAATGAAAAACACAACTAAAGGGATAAAGATGCACGTTGCTGCTGTATAAATAAATCCCTCCAGTTGCAGTTGTATCAGCTGGAAGATTGAGAAAACTCTAAATGTTTGGCCTTTCACCAATAAGGTCCATCACTTCCTGTTTTATTTTGAAATGCTTCCAATTTTTATTCAAATTTGTAAATTTAATTTGGATTTGTGAGCTCAACTGTTTACAGTTCCTGCTTCACAGCATCTTTACTGGGTAATTTCACTGCATTAGTCTAGTGTTGATGTGAATCGGGTTTTAACAGGTCAGACTAGCAGACCTGAAGAAGACGCCCAAACAGATGATTATATTGTAGTGAATCCTAATCGGTGCCATTTGCACAATAATCCCCTCCCTCTTTCCACAACAGAAAAAAGTTTCTATATTTTGGTTTCCAGCGTAGTTTTACTTTTCATTTGGTCCTGTTCCTGAGCACAGTCGTCCGACTCTTCTGCGGCCAACGTTTCTGCGACAGACTCGTCCACCTTCACCTCCCTCCTGAAGATTTTATCCATCTCGTTGAAGAATTTAAACTCTTCCCTACATTTAAAGAAAATAATAATAGAAAAAAACTGTTAAATCAAAGGCAGCTACAACATGAACAAACTTGTGGTTAAAATAATTGGGATTGACTAACTTTTCATGGACAAAGCCATATTTTAGGCGTTTTATGCGGGTGTAGCACTGCTCTGTGGTCCTTATGAATCCATGGATGCTCATCTTTTCTGAGATGTACTCAAACACGTGTCGGTTCTTCAGGCAGCCCCTCAGGGTGAGCTGGACGTTGTCCTCTCCCCAGATCTCCAACAGCGTGCGAGTCTCCTGGTCTGACCAGGGCATCTTTCTGCTCATGTCAGTCAGGAGGTGGCTTGTTGATGGCTGCTCGACTAAAACAGGAAACCAGAGTTTTATTGAGTCAGTGCTCAAAAATGCAGCACGACTCTCTAAAGCTGGGCGGACACTGTGCGACTTTTTCACTCGTAGCACTCAGCTTCAGCTCAAACTGTACGACTTCCTCGCAGGGCAGATCTCATGAGTCATGTGCTGACACTGTACGACCCAGTTCTCGGATGCGACCTGACTGCTCACACTGTACGTCTGGTAGCAACACGTCAGACCTAAAAATATGCTAAAAATAGCAGTTTTTTACTCAACACGTCAAGACTTTTTTGTTTTGCCTGTTGTCCTTCGGGAGTGCTGCAGGAGGACACACGGGGATTTATGGGGTTGGATGAGGAAAACGAAATAAAGAAAGTAAATCTGTGTTTTGTGATAGTTTAATTTGACATGAACACGACAAACACGCTTTCTTGACAATCTTTGAAAGTAAAAAAACGTGTAGAAATAAAAATGAACAGCGTGTGTTATTAGGGAAATAGCGGGCGAGCGGCGTTGATGCAGGATTGCGCATGCGCCGTGAGCGGTTCTGATACAGTGCGATACCCTCATGAGGGACGAGCAAAATATCAAACACACCAGAAGTCCGTGCGAGCTCACGATTGCTGATCAGTAGCCGGTCACGTGGTGTTAATCACCTCTCGTAACCCCCTGTATACTACACGACGCTCAGTGCAAAATTCGCCCCGATCTTGTGGATTCTCGCACGAGTGGAAAATCGGCTCAAAAAAGTGAAAAAGTCGCACAGTGTACGCTCGGCTTAAGGCGGGGCCTTTCAGTCCAGGCCCTGAGGGCCACTGTCTGCCTCCCCACCCATTCCACCTTCCTCAGGATCCACTGATTTCCCTCTTTCCTATTCATTCTCTCTCTTTCTTTACATTTTTTATCACAATTGTCTATTTTTTTGCTCATTTTAAATATATTTTTAACCATTTTCTAAATTATTTTTTATATTTTTACATTTTTTGTTTTTGTGAAGCGCCTCGTGATTTTTATCTTGAGAGGCGCTACAGAAATGATATTTTCTTCTTCTTCACGTTTTTATGTTTCCCTGCACCAACTCAGCTGGTTTGAATCAAATGATGATTAACAGGCTTCTGAACATGCTGAAGAGGTCATTCAGCAAGAGGCGGATAATATTTAAACCTACACAAAACCGGATCAGCATCCAAGATGGGCTCTAATGTAGCTTCAGCTGCAGAAACGTCTGCATCAGCAATTCCTGAGTCATCACCGAGAACCGGGGCGAGGAGGTTGAAGTATCGAAACGCTGCAGGGCGCCCTCCATTTCTGGAAAACACAAAGTCTTAGTAAGCAGAACAGGAGCTAAGTGGAAGAGCTCCACTACTAATCTGTTTAATTTACCTGCGATTGTTGCAGTAACGCCTGTATGTCTTCTTCAGCCTTTTGATTCGACACTGGCACTGCTCTGCTGTCCTCAGGTAGCCCAGGGTGGCCATTTTCTCAGCAATCTCTGCAAATATGTGCCCGTTACGGACGCAGGTCTTCAAGCTGTGTTGCACATCATCAGCAGCCCACACCTCAACGAGAGCGACCGTCTCTTCTTCTGTCCACGGTGCGTTTAAGCTGTCTGTGACTCCTGCAGGTAGACAAAGGCATGAAAACCATGTCTCCTCCAGAAGGGCGTAGATGTGTAACAGCATCCTGATGGTACCTGGATCCGGTTCTGTTTGTTCGTCCCGTTCATCAAACTCATCAACAGAAACGGCCTCCTGTCCCAGGATTCGCTCCAGCTGGTGGTAAAACTTGTAATCGACTTTCCTTCCACATCTAACAAAAATACAAACATTTGTTTTGAGTTTATAATAAAAGGGTAAAGCACAGAAACAGAAAGACTGATCTCACTTTTTCCGGTCGTAGCACTGCCGGAAGTTGATCCTCAGGGACTTGACTTTGGAGCGGCACTGCTCGGGTGTTTTAGAGAAGCCCCGATCGTGCAGTCGGTCGGCAATCTCGGCATAAACACGACCGTTGTGGATAAAACCACGGAGCGACTTCTGAACTTCCTCCTGGCCCCAGATCTCGATAAGCGCCAGGGTCTCCTGGTCTGACCATGAGCTGGAGGCTGGTCTTTCTGTTGACACCGGGGTCTCTAACATCAGAGACAAAATCTGTCAGCCCTAGCCCTCCCCCTATACTAACCGTCACAAGCAATCATTAATGTTTAATTAGATTAATTAAATTACAGCACATTTACTTTAATCTTGTCGCCTCTTTTTGATTAATTTCATAAATTACAAAAGAAAATAGAAGACTTAAATATATCGAGTAAAAAGCTGTAATGCAAGTAAATGAAGTTTGTTTGCAAATCCTATTTCTTAATTTTGGATTAATTTAATGATTATTAATTAAATTGTTTACTAGTTTGTTTGAAACATCAGAAAAAGAAAGTAAAGCACAAAGTGATCCAACTCTAAAGCTGACTTTGTCCAAAACTGAAAAATGAAACAGAAAACACAAGTAAATAAGCAGCCACGTAAACACAACTTCACACCTGTTTCCGCTGCAGATTCTTCGTTGGAGTCTTCTGATATCTCGATGGAGTCCGTCACCACGGCGGCCGACGTTGACGGCTGCTTTTCCAGAATTTGCTCCAGGAGGTCGTAGAACTTAAAGTCGACGTGATCCGTTCCAGAAAGGCTGTGGAGGTTAAAGACATGAGCGCACGCAGCCGGCTGGCGGCGCAGAAACCGAGACGAGAGTTTAAACTTACCTCATGTTTTCTTTACACTGGCGGTAGTTAGCCTTCAACCGTTTGATCCTGGTGTGGCACTGATCTGGGGTGCGAGAGTAACCGTTGGCGTTGAGTTTCTCCGATACCTCGGTGAAGACGTGCCCGTTGTGCGGGTAGCGCCTCAGGCACTGCTGGACCTGAGAAAAAGAGCAAAAGCCTCAAATATTTTCTGAATGACACAAACAATTCTGGAAAATCTGGTTTAAGAGTCGTAAATGTTGGATGATACCTGTGTGTCACCCCAAATCTCCAGCAGGATGATGGTCTCTTTGTCCGACCATGGCACCTTCTTACGGTCCTCCTGAGCTCCCGCAGCCAACTCTATAGGAAAACAAAGAAAGTTTATTACTGGATCTATTCCACCTCTGAATGACAGAGTTGAGAGCTGTGTAACAGTGTGTTAAATTATTCTAATGCAGGGCTTCCTCCAGAAAATGAGTGCGGCTTTGGCCGTTGGGGGAGGGGTCTCTCGCTCCGTCCCGCGGCGCTCTGTGAGAGCGAGAGTGGGGGGGTTGCACAAGTTCCGCTGCTGTTTCTCACCGGTATCAGCTGATGGTGGACTCTAGTTTCGCTGCGCCATTCGTGTCAGCGGACACGGTAGGGTTGGGGAGGGGGGCGGGGCATGACGCTTAGCCTGGCGGGCCGCCAGGCTTATAAAGCGCTGGGGGAAACCCTGCTATGTGGAACACTTGTTCTGTTTGCTTTACCCATCTCCTGGTGGCTGGGGGGAAGAAAGTCGCTCTCTTCTCCCTTGGCTGACATTTCTTCCATCTGGATTAATGACTCAAAGCCCTTCACTAAAATTCTTCCCAGCTCGTTGTAGAACTTGCATTTTACTTGCTCTTGTCCCTTCAAACTGTAAAATATAGAAGATGGATGATCAGTTATATGAAAATCTTAAAAGAAGAAGACTTTTAAGGATCTTTTGTAGTGTACTTGTTTTGGTAGCACTGCCTGAAATTTGATTTGAGCCTCTTCAGCCTGGTCTGACACTGTTCTGGTGTTCTGGAGAAGCCCAGAGAGGCCAGCTGACTGGATATGAGGGAGAAAAGGTGCCCAGTTCGGTTCACTCCTCTCAGATCCTGCTGCATCTTGTCGGCACCCCAGACGTTGATCAGGGCCAGAGACTCCAGGTCTGTCCACGGCACACTTCGAGTTCCTTCAACACAAACATTGACAACCTTTGAAAATGCCTGGCAAATTAAAGGTATGGGACACTTCCTTAATCAACACATCTGCAGTGGTCTGTAGTCGGAATTAATGCTTTGCAAGTCATACTCGGGGGGGGGAGCTCAGACGCACTTATTTCAGAAACTGGCAGAATGCCACATCAGGGGGAAGCTTAACACGGCAGGATTTGAAGTAGGGCTGTCGCGGTTGAGGAATTCCTCCTGCGGTGATTCAGGGTGGCTTAATATTGCGGTGTGCGATATTATTGCAGCCCTTTTTTTATTGCAGTACTATCTAAACATAATGTTTACACATTTAAAAAAGGTTAAAAATTGCCGTGTCTTCTTTTATAACACTTTACTGAATGCAGATCAAAGGGCAGTAACAACACAGATCGCAGTAACGTTTGTTTCTCCGACAGTCGGAGTCCGACTGAACTTAAAAACAACAAAATTCAGGAGAAGGTTAAACTTTTAAATGCAAATTTGGCTGCAGCATCTAACAAATAAGAAACAAGTCCCCATTTTGTTTAATTGTTTAAAATCAAGCATAAAAAATTACATGTACCGGGCGCGCGCGCGCCGGGGGAGGGCGCACTATCATTTCACTTTCACACACACAAATGACGGTGATTTATAGCTCGGTCACGTCCTTGTTACCTACAAGGAAAACCAGCATGTTAACCATATACGGTTTGAGAGAGGATCTGAGAGGGGTGGCAACATTTCCAGCAACACTGAAAACCCTCTCGGATGGTGCGCTCGTTGCACTAACGCACACGTACTTGCGTGCGACTGGCGAGCAAAGGGAATCTCTCCCGGTTGTTGCTCCACCATGTCAGGGGGTTTCTTTAGGGTGGATGCATTCCTCCTGCAGGTAGCGAGTGAGCTCCAGCTCGGCTCAAACTCTCTTCGGGACGGCTGCAGAAGCAGTGCTTGTCCGGGACTTCAGCAGGTCTCCGAGCGTTTATTATTATTTTTTTGCCGCTGGTGGCAGCTCTGTCTCGGCCAAGGACTCTGGCTGCGCAGCAGCTGACGTACTGAAAACCAAAGTGCTCCCAAAGGAGCGAAGTAACGTTTCGTTTTGATACCAGTGCAGCCATCCTTCTCAACATGCATCATTGAGTTGAACCAAGTTCAGTAATCGCGGTGGCCCATGATGCAGCGCGGTGGGCTTCTTCATATCGCGATATTTCATTTTTGCGGTTACCGCGACAGCCCTAATTTGGAGTCTTACTTCCTGAGTTTTGGACATCTTGCCTCTGATTGGCTAACAGCAACACAACTCTACCACTGGCTCCACTTGCTCTGCGACATGGATGTCCTATCTCCACAAATAACACAATCCTGAAGGACTTCTGCTTTGTGGTGGAGCTGCTAATGCTAATAGTTAAAATGACCCTTACTTGTATAGCGCCTCTCAGAGTAAGGACTCCAAAGTGCTTCACACTACAGTGTACCATTCATCCATTCACAAACACACATTCACACACTGATGGTGATGAGCTACAATGTAGCCACAGCTGCCCTGGGGCACACTGACAGTTGCCCTTCTACTAGTTAAGGGGGTTCTCTGCTGAAGCAGAAGATAGGTGTAGGAGACTATTTTCATGTTCAGTCTGCATGAAAAACTCAAGAGTGACCCATTCTAATCAGAAATAATCATTAAAAACGTCTAAAGGTTTTTAAGAATCTGCATTAACTGTTAGTCGACCATACCAAACTACTAAAGTTGAGCTTTAGTGACATCTAGTGACAATTTTGTGACATTGTACCAATTTCCATTTGGCCAGTTTGTCCCACGAACTGCAAGTCCTCATCTCCGTCTTTGGACTCTTCCTCGTCGGCGACTTCCTCTACGTCGTAGGTCACCTCAGGAACAGTGGAGGGAGCTGAGAAGATGAGGATCTGCTCCAGCTTGGAATAAAATTTGTGTTCTTGCCTCGAGTTCCCTCTAACAAAAGACCAAGAATGGATAAGAATTCTAGACAAAGGTTACTCCAACATCCCACGTGTGAAAAGATAAAGAGCACAGCTACCTGTGGCTCTGGCGGAAGCACTTCTTCAGTCGTTTGATCCTCGTCTGGCACTGCTCCACCGTTCTCATGTAGCCCCTCTCGGCCATCTTCTGCGCAATCTGAGTAAATATGTGTCTGTTTTTTAAGCAGCCCTTCAAAGCTCGCTGCATGGAGTCCTTGCCCCAAATGTCAAGCAGGTGGAGTGTCTCCTCGTCTGACCAGGGAACCTTTGAGTCCATTGGAACTGGAAAAGTGCGTTCCTGAGTGTCTGAAATCAGACACGACGCGTCAGTAGACATCTGATGAACAGAAAGAAATCGGAAGAGAAACATGACAAACCTGTGTAATCCCCCCATATGGAGATCAAAGGAGATTCGCTTGAGTTCTCGCCATCCACAGATGAATCCCTGCAAAGGTTAGAAAGGAAATGAACCCTAAATGAGACGTGAACGCCACACAAAATGTGATGTGAACTGAATAAAACAGTAGCAACAGCAAATATCTCACAAGAAAGCCGAAGCCTCCACAGGTTGCTTAGCAGGAACGTCCACCCCTCCACTTCGCTTCCTCTTCCTCAGACTGGTCGATAAGCTGAGGTTGCTTGCTTCTGAGTCGGTGTCAGCAACCTCGTTAGACATGGTGAGGTCTATCGTGTCATCACACGAGCGTGTGGAGTTGTGTACGCTCCAATCCTGGGATACATGTGCTCCTCGGGCCTGCAGGTGCCTGCTTCCAGGGTCCCTCTCCTCCCTCAGTTTTTGCCTCGCTGAGTCGAAGCTCTTCGTGCTCGGGTTCTCCAGGACGATGTTGCTGCTGGGAGCACTGAGAAATGCTGCTTTATGATCTGGATGGGTGGAGTCTTTAAGAGTCTGGGAGCAGGAGGCTGTGTCCGAGGCCGGTCTGGCCCCGGGAGGCAGCGACAGGGAGGACAGAATGCAGTCATCCATTGGCAATAATCTTGATTCTAAATTTCAGAATAAAAATAAACTAATTACAAAAAAGAATCAATGAAAATGTAACAAACATGATTAATGCATCTTCACATTAGCTCATAATTATTCCACGCCAACATGAGCTGATTTGAGAAATATTAAACTCAGGAACCAGAATTTAGAAGCTCTGGAATAAATAAAAACGTTAAAAACATTACAAGCTGGCAAAAGGAGAAATAGGTTTAGCCATCAGGAAGATTGGATGGTGTTAACCACAAGCGCCTGTAGCCGTACCCTTTTCTTCAAAATGGCCGAGGCTCCTGTGGTGCTCCAGCACACCCTTCATGTCGTCTGGTGGGAAAACAGATTGTAAACAGTCGTGTAGAACCGACGGAGCGTCTGTGAGAAAAGCTGCCAACTGAGAAAAAAGATCAAGTTACCATCTTCATCAAGCCTGTTATTAGTCTAAAATGTTTTAATGTTGCAGTTGCAATAAATAACAGTTTAACTAGGATGGATGTACTTGTAGGCAATTATTAGGAATTAATGCAATCCACGTTCAAGAAGAAAAGAATATCCTTATTTATGAGATCGACACAAATTTGGTTTTGTGTTTTTCGCCAGTGACTGTTTGGTCTATTGGGACACCGTAGCAGCTGCACCCAGATAACCCCTCCCCCCATCACCTGAGCCCTTCTGCTGAACCTCTGCTCAAAGCTCAGTTTGGAACAATGTCAGAGAAAACTCCTGGAGCCACAGAATGCTACGTTAGCTAAACAACATGAGTCAGACTAATACAACTAGTATATTTAGCCACTGGGGTCTCAGATGGACTAACGATGTTTGAGTCTGAGGTTGTTTTCCAAGCCGTAGTTGAAGTAACACGACACCTGTGTGAAGTCTGGAACAGGCAGCAGCTCATCCAGCCTCGATATGAACTCCCAGACCAGCATCTCAAGAGCCGTGTCGTACTTTGGGCCAAAATATACAGGAAAGATTTCCTGCAAATGAGAAAGAGGGGAAAAAAGTTATCAAAGAGATGCATTCTGGGAGATCTGAATAAGCCAATGAGTTCACAGCTGCAGCAGAAGAGGGACGTCATTTTCTCACTGATGCACAAATAATAATGTTAATGACTGTAGAGTTTCATTAAGCCTCTAATCAATGCAAATACTCGAGACAAGAATGGGAATCTGTGTCTGTTCTGCAATAATGTCGTAAAATCTGCTGTTAAAGACGCACATCGACCTTAAGTTGAACAGATTCCTCAAGAGGTTGAGACCCTTTTCTCATGAACATTTAGTTGATCTGATTTTACTAAATACTTCCAACTGAACTCAGATCTATTGTGTTTATGCTTAGAGTCTAGGAGAAACCAGAAAATCTAGCCTCGTTTTGGAGGAGAAAAAAACTGTTAAAAACAGCGATTCTAAAAGCTTTTCTTTTCAGCTGCTTTGAGTGAAGACAGAAGCAATCTCCAACCAAATCCAACCCAGTATTTTAAATCCAGACACATTCTTGAGCTTGTTTTCCAAAAACCAGAGACCAAACTGGAGCTGCTGAATCGCAGAGCTATGAGAGGATGCAGCAGGATTTTCCTTGAATTTTGGCCTTTAAAGTAATTTTCATTTTAATCACATTAGCTCTTCTGGATGAAAACCCTTCATTGTTGTTTTTTTGGCATTAGTCTGATTACATAAACGCTGCAACATGTGTAAGATCTGCATGATTTTTATGCTGAATGCATCCTCTTATAAAAGGTCATTCAAGGCTGTGGAATTCAAACCGTGACTGACTGGCATCTAAGCGTGTCCAGAAGACTTCAGCACACAATCAGCAGTGCTAAGGTGATGCAGAAGCTAGGCTACCATCAATATTCCTGAACAGGAATAGTTCAGCAGTCCCGTTTATCAAGCCTGCAGACTCCCAAAGAAGTACAATGCACAAAAGGAGACGTCTTACTTCGAAAAAATACTTCCTCTCTGAGGGATCCTCCAGTAACGAATGCACCAGCTCCACAAAGTTCACCTCCGACTCTTCCACCTGGTGTATCGTCACCTGATCAAAGCACACATAGAGAAGAGAATTTCAGCTATTCCGTTCCTGGCTAGAGCGGGAACAGTTTGTTTTCCAGGTAACTCACATGGTGATCCATTGCAGTGCTGACGGGAGCTTTGATTCTGTCCAGATGTGGCTGAATGGTCTGCATGTCCACCGGGTGTTCGCCTCGACAGAGCTCCAGGACCAGCTGGATGCACACACACACACACACACAAATCAAATCAAGGCTAGATGGAATGGTTAACTATTGCAACTGCACAAACATTTACACTAAAAAAATGAAATAAATAAACAAAAATTTGCTGTGCAGTTTTTAAAAGTTCAAAACTTCAAAAATAAAAAGAAACACTTGTTCTCTGTGTATTATAACAGGGAATGCTCCTGACCCTGGCTCTGAGTCCCAGGATGAGCTGAGCCCTCTGACTGTAGCTCATCAGCTCTGGGACCAGCTCCGTCACCATGGTAACAAACTCCTCCAGCATCCCGTAGTGATCCACGAGTCCCTGCTGCACAACCTGCCACACTGCAGCTGACAGAATCTGCAAGGGTGGAGCCAGGAGCCGCAGATAACGGACGGGAAGATCATTAGCTGAAGAGGTAGAGAATAAACAAGTCTCAAAAATCACAAACTTTGTTTATATTTTCATGTGAATCCCTATATTTTTTAAGTGTTTAGATCATTTCTGCGTATCAGCTGGCAGGATGTTTAATTTTTGTTATAGTTACTCAAAAAGTAAACAATGAAAGCAACCATACAGTCAAATTGTAGATTATTATATTATTTGTACATTTAAATAACCAAAGCATGACATTTGGTTAAACATCAGGACCTGACAGTAAAAAAAAATCTAGGCTATCCAATTATCTCATTGCCATTTAAAAACAGAGTCCAGTAGGTTTTGACCCCCAAATAATAAAATATTATAGTTCATATATATATATTTGGAGTTTAGAGGCATTTTTAAATCTATTTATTCTTCTGTGACAGCATCATACATAAATAAATGACATAAAATAAACAATACAGTCAGATGAGTGTGAGCTGAACTGGTAGTGTGGATTTCCTGAGCCATAATAAACTTGCTTGTTTTTGTGTAGTAACTGTAGTAACACATCGTGTTTAAGATATCCACTAGATTATTTATAAACCACCCGACAGGATGCATGCTGGAACAGATTCTCTTTAAAAACAGTTTCATTCATTCAAGCGTCTAGCTGACACATCAGATGACAGCCAGGAGGCTCAGCATGCACAAGTAAACTTGTAAAATAAATAATGACATGCCAGAGCTGCTGGCAGTGACAACAGCAGCATCAGCCACAACAAACCCACACCTACTTCAGCTGACCCTTGTTACCAAGCTTCAAAGGCTGTTGGATTTCTGACAGAAGTCGACAGGGACAAGTTCATAAATATAACGCTGCGATCGATTAGCATGTGGCTCAGATAATTCAGCTAAAACCCGACGGCTGATCCACGAGGGGAGCAAAACAACCTCCACTTCCTAAACCACCCCAGGATAATTAGGAGAACAAAGCGGTTGTTTATATTAGCCGTTGAGGTCACGGTAGCTAATAACTGATGCCAACACACGAGCATGTCGGACAATTATAAAGCTGTAATTATTGTTTTTATGACCATTCACGCACCTCGGTTGCTTCCACTTTCAGTTCCGCGTGTTATTTCCATTTAGCAGCTGATAAAAATGAAGAAAAAATGGCCGGAAGTCGCCTTCGGGTTGTGGCTACAGGAAAAGAAAACGCGGACCTAGCATAAAACCCCCCGTTATTTTAGAAACATTCCTCTAATTTTTGATTAATACATCAACCACCTGCGACGGAATACTCATAAAATAAGAGTGCGGTTTAGCTAGACGCATGAACAGGCAGCTGGATTTCGTCTTTTACTGGAAGGGGAAAAAAACAGAACAAAGGTTTCTGGTCTCATCCGCCTCGGTCCAGATCATGGCAAACCCTCTTTCCTGGTTGGTTGACGAAGACCGGATCGACCAGGCAGCTCAGGCACATGGACGCTAGAGGGCGCAATTTAACCATGATGGAAATGACAGTTCTTTTCCAGGATTTGAATCATTTTAATCAGTTCTCCAGGAAGATTCGGTTCATTCGGTCCTCAAACGGTTCTTATTTAACCTTATAATTAAGCCACAGTTATTATTATTATTATTATTATTATTATTATTATATTATTATTATTATTATTATTATTATTATTAGTAGTAGTAGTAGTAGTAGTAGTAGTAGTAGTAGTAATCGCAATGTGTGCATACGTGAAGCATGAGTAACCACTGAAATAATGATAAATGAGATTGTTTATATAATGTGTAAGTTAAAGTGCAGTGGTGAAGTCCAATTCATTAGTGGATCTTTACCATCTCAGCCATGGCCATCTCCACCCTGAAGCAGTCTTTGTCCTGCAGAGCAGCAGCTGCTCTAAAACAGCCGAATGCACAAGCTGCAAGAATTTCAATGCATGACGTTTGCGTCCACACATAACTGTGAACATGAAAGATGGCAATTTATCATCAAAATGTAAATTTATTGTAAACAACACAAGACTTATAACATTCATTAACAGCTTGACTATATATAGCAAATAAAGGACAAGACAAATACACATCAGATAAAGAGGAATGAATGAATGTGACGAATAAATATCAATAAAGTTTCTGCTATCAAGTCCAAAGAAGTGAGCAAAGCCCATAGTAACAGCTGTTTGCCTTCCACCATTGTTACTTAGATCAGTGTGTCTGGACAAAAAAGGTATAAACTCTTAAAGATGACCAGGGTCTTGGTCCACATGGTCAAGCGTCATATGTTGGGGTAAGAAGGGTGGGTTAATGAGCATGTCCAGTGTATTTTGATTGGTAGAATAAATTCTACAGAGGAAAAAAAATAAATGATTTAATGCCAGATTTAAGTTTTCATAGGCAAAATGGATGCTCTAATTATCTATTATCTATTTGCTTTGTAAAAAAAACCCACAATGTTAATCAACGATGAGCAAAATGTACAAAATAAATTAGATAAAAATGTGGAAAAACTAAATGTTTATTTTCGTGAACAAAAAAATTACATTTATTTTATTTGCAGAACAGTTTTTTTTATTTTGTGTCTTTTAAATTAGTAAGGTTATAGCATGCAGGCAAACATATTAACAGAAAATGTTTATTTGCTAATACTACATTCAGGGTTAACTACTGTCGTTATTTATGTTCAACTGCTGTAAAATATACACGACCTATTGGAAGGTTTCTGAAGCATTTTTGTGAATAGGGTGGATTTGGAAATGTTTTTCTTCTGCTTTAATTTGTTTCCTTTAAACCACATGAGTTTAGATATAATTGAAATTTCCTATTTATCTGAATAAACAAGGCTAAACAGAACCAACGTGTAATTTTAGCTTTTTGCCACCAGATGGCAAAAATTCCCAAATTTTTTATAAAAGGCCATGACTCTAGAGCAGGGCTGGGGAACCCTGGTCCATTTCAACTCTGCATCATCACACCCGATTTCATTAGGCAGGTGATTAACAAGCTTCTGCAGTTTGATGAGCTGCAGAACAGGTGAACCAACCACTGAATCAGAAGTGTTGGGGCAAAGACATGCAGGATACCGGCCCTCGAGGACCAGCTGGGTTAAGCACTTTGATGCGACACAATACTGGTGTTTAACAATGTTACATTAATACCATTTCAATTTGTTTGTTTCTAGCTGAATAATGAGAAACCATTGTTAGGGCAAGTTCCCTTGTTGAAAACGCCACACATGTTATATTGTTTTAAGAATTCACCTAACATATTTTATAAGAAACTATTGTAACTTATAAATGTCGTTCCCTTTTCTCCTCCCGGGGAAATAAAAACAAAGATTATAGTTTTTCAGCTTCGCTGGGAAAAGGAAGCCAGAAGATTTTCTACAGACCTGGTGTAGTTCTAGCTTGTCGCCACTGGAGGGCGATAATACGCAGTTCTATTTCGTCTAGTCTTAGCCCTTAAGCTAGCTGCTATTGGAAGGATGATCTCCGCATCAGCCAATCATGAAGAGCTTAAATGTACGCCCACCAATAGTGGGCCCCCTCGTGGTATATAACCGCAGTGACCCCACTGCTCACCCCCTTTTTCTCTTCATGCCAAGCTTGAGAGCTTTATTAAAGAGCAAATATTATCTCAAAAGAGCAAATTATCCGAAGACGACTTACCAGCCATGTCCAGCGACACCAGACCCTGCCCGACCTGCCAGACGGGCTCCATTTCCAGCGGCGACCTGCACGCTAAGTGTGAGGTCTGTCTCGGGGCTCACCACGCTGGCCTGGCCTTGACCCCACAGGCCTCATGCCCATTCTGTGCCGCTCTGCCCATGGCGGAGAAGATTCGCCGGGTCGAGTACTTCACTCCCGCCGCCGACGAAGAATTTCCGGTGGCTGACTCCTACCCGCTGGACAAGGCTTTGGTTTTCTTCGACGCCGGTCAGGAGCCGGCTGGCTTCAACCGGCTGGATGACGTCACTGACAGCGAAAACTACGATGAGGCGGCGTCCCTCCTAGACATAACGGAGGTCGACGAGCTTCGCTCAGCGGGTCCTTCTGCCCCAGTGGCTTCTCGCTCCTCCCTGCCAGCAGTAAGAGCACTGCTCTAGGAGCTGCCCACCATCATTTCTGCGTCAGCAGCCCGCAAGGGGCTAGCTGTGCCAGAACCGGCCCTGCCTGAAGCGGATGATTTGGCGGGAATTTTCGGGGCAACTCAGACACGCTGTCCAGACCCTGTCTGGCCGCGCTTCCCCGCTGCTATGAGCTGCTGGTCTGCCGCCTTCTCCGAGCCTGCCAAGCTCAAGGCGCCAGTCTCCACATATGCGCCCATCACCAAGGTCGAGGGGTTTTCCGACCAAGGCTGGCCGTCCGTTCCTCCACTAGAGCCGGATTTGGCCTCGCTGTTCGGCGCCAAGAACCACTTCGCTGGCCCGCGAGCTGTTCCCGCTTCAAAACATGACCAGCTGCTGACGCGGCTCACCGACCGCGCACATCAGTGTGCCTTTCAGACCGGCGCTGCAGGGAATAACATCGCCCTTCTTGCCTTCGGCGTCTCCAAGATGATGGAGGAGCTGGAAGCTCCCGAGGAGTCGAAAGCCGTCATAACTAAGACTGCTGATGCCATCCTCAATCTGTGTGCTGCTGTGCTCACCGGTTCTGCTCGCATCGCTGCCCGGCAGACCCTCATCCAGCGAGCGATCTGGCTGAAGGCCCTGCCCTCCATTCCGGAACATCTGCAAAGGGAGATGCTGGATGGCCCCATCACCACCGATGTTCTGTTTGGTCCCCATCTTAGGGGCGTCATTGAGAGGGCTCAGAAGACGGCCGAACTATCGGCTACGGTGCGAGACCTGGTCCACCCTCGGTCAGCCTCGCACTCCGGCCGTTCAGCCAGAGGATGGGACGAACGGCGCGGAAGCTTCAGACGTCCAGCTGCACCGCCCGCTCCAAGGATCCGGCCTCCCGCTTCGGCTCCACATCAGCGGGACCAGCGAGATGGCGGACAACGGTTCCGGCGGGGCCAGCAGACGCCGTCTTGGCAGTCCCAGGTGCAGGAGCCTCGCCGAAAGCAGCCACGGAAGTGACTCTTTGGGGGGAATGTGTGTGTTACTGATTGTTCTGATGTTGTTGGTTTTGAAATAAAACCCAAAAAACGTCACTCAAAGAGCACAATCCTACAGTCCTCCGCAGAATCCTCTGCCGAGTTTTCACACATGTTCCCCACACCAAGCACTGCTGCACGCACACATGTTCCTGCAGGTAGTCATAATACACGGCCAGCCGTAAGGGTGCGCTCCATTTGCGCTCTGGCCCCAGCATCCGGCCAGGCCCAACTCGTCCCGCTCTCCCCACGCCGTTGGGTGGGGCGGGATGTCATGTCGCTGTCTCGACCACGCGCGGCGGCACAGTGCGCGGCTCCATCCGCTAGCACTCTGTCGCCCCCGTGCACAGGCCCGGCTCCCACTCGTCCTTCACTCTCGGACTCCACGCTCCGCGGTGTGGACCAGCCTGTTCCAGCTGTTTCGCACTTGCCCTTTCGAGCGCAGCCCTCCATGGGTCGCCCCCAGTTCTCTGGTACGGGCGACGGCGGTAAGGGCGCATGCACAACCCTCAGACGTTGTTCACGTGACCGCGCACACGCGTCCATTGTCGGAACGCGTGCACGAGTGGCGCCGCCTTTGCATCATGAGCAAATGGATTTCGGACACCATTCATTGCGGTCACACACTTCATTTTCAGGCCACTCCACCTCCCTTCAACGGGATCGTGGAGACGACGTTCACATCGCAAGTACAGTCTCAGGCGCTAGAGCTGGAGCTGCGGGAACTTCTGTCCAAAGACGCTATTTCCGAGTCCCTCGCGGACAAGAACTCTCGGGTTTCTACTCCCGCTACTTCGTAGTACCGAAGAAGTCGGGAGGAATGAGGCCGATTCTCGACCTGTCCCTGTTCAACTTCTCCATAGCAGTAATGCATTTCCGCATGTTAACGATGAGACAAGTCCTGGAATATGTGCGCCCCGGGGATTGGTTCACGTCAATCGACCTGAAAGACGCATACTTCCACATACCAGTAGTTCCAAACCACCGGAAGTTTCTGCGTTTTTCGTTCAAGGGAGTTCAATATCAGTTCAATCGCCTCCCTTTCGGCTACTCGCTAGCCCCGCGCACTTTCTCCAAATGTCTGGAGACCGCGCTGCAGCCACTGGGCACGGAGGGAATGAGGGTCTTATTTTACCTGGACGATCTTCTCCTGTGCGCTCGGTCCGAGGACGAGGCGTCACAGCAAACCAGGAGGTTGACACAGCATCTGTCAACCCTAGGGTTTTCTATAAACTTGGAAAAGAGCTCCATCCTTCCATCCCAGTCGATTGTGTATCTCGGGGTGGAGTTGGACGCCTCCCTAATGAGAGCACGTTTGTCGCCTGCAAGAGCAGCAGATCTCTCCAC